TCCAGCAGTGGTTCCCAAGCTGCTCCCTGGGAAGCGCTGGTCGGAGACTTGGGCATCTGTCTCTGTCCCTTAGCATTGCCTCTAGTTGCTAAACAGCAGCAGCAGAAATTCCTTTGCTGTTTAAGGATTTAAAGGCTTCCCTGTAATTGCTTTTTCACGAGCACAGCCTCTGTAGTTGTGGCGTGGTTGCTGTTGAAGGAGGTGGCCTGCGTGGCTGGGAGAGGGGCAGGCACCGCTGCTCTCTTCAGCAGCTCAGCCATAGTTTTGTACTGGGAGCCACTGAATGCCGGTATAAATCTTGCTGTTAAAACTTCACAAAATACTTCCCCTGCTTCTCTGTCTCTTCTGTGTTTGATTGTTTTAATGACTTTTACTCAGAGCAGCTCCCTTATTTGTGGCCAAATTACAGCTAAAAGTTGCCTCAAGAAGGTCCGGTTTTAAGAAGCTGGCTGAATGTATGCAAGTAGGACAGAGAGGAAAGGCACCCAATGGAGTACTTAGGCGTCAAACCGTGGAGGACTTTTAATTAAAGCTATCATTAAAGCATTATTTTATGGACTCAGCAGAAGGGCAGTGCAGTGTTGAAAGTCTCTTTCATCCCTATTTCAGTGTGGCCTGAGACTTCTCAGAAGTGCCAATGTCTGCTGATTAACAAATCGTGAGAGATTCCACGCTATTGCCCCTGCATACAGCTCCAGATCCAAATTCCTGTGCCCCAGAGTTTCTCTGAGGGAAAAGGATGGGCTGCAGTCAACAGGCCAGAGTAAAACTGGGAACCCTTAAAACAGGCCCACAGCGTGAGATAAGCGGCTTTTTGCAACTGCAGCCCTGTAAACAGAGCTGAGCTTGCTAATAGGCATCGCGTGGAGCCGATGGGGGAGACTTAAGGCTTCATCTGAGAGCAGTGTGACCGATTCAGTAGCTTGCAGGTCTTATCAGATGCTGTTTTGCAATTTTCCCAGCCCCTTGCTGATTGCATTTTCTCTCTTGCAAAGGTTGGAGAAGAATATATCTAAACTCCTTTTGGTCTTTTTTCGCAAACCCAGAAGCTGTTGCCTGACCAAATAACTGTTTTTTCTTTTTTTTCCCCATCCCCCCCAAGATTTAAGAGCCAAATGCTGTACTTGTTGATTTTTGTGCTTATAAACTCTTCAGCCACACTTAAGTTACTCTCATTGGAGCGGTAATATAGAGGGAAGTTTTATACATGTATAGCCCTGCACTCCAGCTAAGTAACAGTAATCCTGTGTCTTTGCTGCTCCTGCAAAGCACTGCCAAATACGGCTTTGAAAGTTTCTGCAATGATAAGATTTTAAGCTGGATGAATAAAAGCACTTCAACAATTTCTAAGAAGTTCAAACCCACAGCTGTTTCTGAGTGGTTTTACTGACTAAACGGACATTGTTTTCCCCCTTATTTTTTGATAGGAGAAACTAAAGTAAAAATAAAGCTCTGCCTAAAGATGTGCACAAAGTTTGGGGCAGAAAAGATTGAAATGGGAAGAATCCATCTGTATGTAAACTGTATCAAATGCAGCTTCTCTTCTGTCACAACTTGTGAAATTAGAGCAGTATTTTAAATTGCTATTTCTGGAGCTATTATTTGCTCAATTTACCTATATTACAGAAAAACAGAAGCCTATTTTAAGTAGCCAAAATTCTGGAAGTCATTTTATGCTTTTTCCAAATATGTCTGGCAAGAACACGGATTTATTCCCCTGGCAAAGCTTCTCTCTCATCTTCGTCTTTTACTAGTCAGTGGTGACTAATGTGCTCAGAGCCTCTAATGATCACTTACTTATTCATACAATCACATAGCTTGGCAGGCAGGGAGGATTGAAGATTTGACGTCTGTCATTTGGCACATGAGGACTTTGAGTGTTTCTCCAAATTTCTGAACGCAGGAAACGCTAAAATATGGAAATAAAGAATTCATCCATCGCATTGCAGAGCATCTTCAACAGCCTTTTAAAACATATGTGAGCATTCACTGTGTAAGTGATGCAGATCTATGCAGGTGCATATGCAGGCACGGGCCCCGCTGCTGTTTGTATGTGTGCCCATGTCAGGTGGGCAGAGACGGGCTCCGTCCACATGGCTGGAGCTGGAGCTCTTGTGACTGCGGGTCCAGACTGGGAAAGAGCCACGGGGCCGCGTGGGAGAGCACCCTGGGCTCCCAGGGGAGGAAGGGAGTGATTCTCACGGAGCTAAGGCAAGCGTTTGTTTGTTTATTTATTTATGAGTGTGTACGCTGCATTGCTTTCAAAGCACGTGCTGGCGCTCGAGGAGAGCTAAGTTCACCATGCACAATTACCGTAGTCTCAGTAGCACAACTGTCAGCCGTGTCAGGAGGCTGGGGCTCTGCTCAGGGCTGCGTGGGAGAGCACCCTGGGCTCCTAGGGGAGGAAGGGAGTGATTCTCATGGAGCTAAGGCAAGCAAGTGTTTGTTTGTTTGTTTATTTATGAGTGTGTACGCTGCATTGCTTTCAAAGCACGTGCTGGCGCTCGAGGAGAGCTAAGTTCACCATGCACAATTACCGTAGTCTCAGTAGCACAACTGTCAGCCGTGTCAGGAGGCTGCGGCTCTGCTCCCTGGATCCGCACGGCTTGGTGCCCGCGTGGTCCCCGGGCTCAGCGGGCCTGCGGGCAGGGTGCTGGGGGGACC